TATGACCAACAATTACGCAGTAAGTTCTTTTAGCTGTTATGAGAAAAATAAATTCAAATGAACGTGCTGGCGCGTTTGTCAAACTCTAATTCAACATGCCAGAATAAAGCCAGATTTTAGAATAATGCATAGCCACTCGGCGTGGTGTGCCAAAATACCCTAATTATAAACTTCAATATTTCATTCAAAACAATCCCAAAACGCGCTGTGACATTTTAAAAAGCCGTGAATGTATTAAGGCCACTGGAACCAGGATCGTAACTGAAACGCGCTGCATGTCTCAATATAGGAGCAGAAGCGCTGGTTCAGATTGTATTGTTTGTTGTTTAAACGTGCATGTTGCATATTTAAAAATATTTGTTTTAAAATAAATGGTTGTTGTAGGCTTATTTGCAAATTATCATAACTTGTAGAATTTCATCCTTACTGTTAATTGACATTATAGCCCCACTTACGTTTTGATAAATGTCCCTTTGCGCCACCTGGCGGTCATTTCGCGAACGACTTTGAAATGTGACTGGTTTATTTTTATTGTATTGGTCTACTTTAAAAAATAATACTTTATAAAGACATTTATGGAAAAAGACTATTTTCTTTTCAAGATGTTTCCAACTGTAACTTTGAACCAATTCTGTAGACTGGCCCATATAGCATTTGACCAGGATTTGTTTCCAGGTATGACTAAAAATGTCAAAAAATGACTTTCATTTATATTTTGATTGTTTGTATATATATATATGTGTGTGTGTGTATAGATATATATGTAGGCTATATATATACAAGAAAGAATGCAAGGACAATATATATATATATATATATATATATATATATATATTGTCCTTGCATTCTTTCTTGTGTGACACCCTGAAAGGCTCATTATTATGCATGGTCACTGTCTGAGAACCACTTAATTATTCATGATAGGGGTTGGGCCGTTCCGCCCATCCGCATATTGCCTTGGCAAACAAAAAAATGTTTTTCACAATTTAAAACAATCTATTGTTTTATGTGAATGATTAGGAAGGATGATTTTCAGATCATTTTGAAGCAAAAACTCTAGGCGACAACGTCCATTAGTTAAAAGTCAGTTTTTTGTGTCCTTATTTCAAAAACTTTATTTTTAGTTTTTTCAATAACCACGCATAAACAATATTCTCTCAAAAATACAAACATGTTCATACATGTTGCTCACATATTATGGTAGTCCTGTTTGTGCTAAATAGAGTGTAATTTCACCTGTGCCATTAATATGTTTATAAGCAACTGAAAAAAGCACAAATGTCAGAGCATGTCAAAACATCTCAAGGACCCCAAAAACACCTTGGTCCCCAGAGGGTTAAAGAGACATTAATCTGCCTTTGCGTTTGGGTTCTCTCTCTCCTCACTCGTCATGACAAAAGCACATAATTTGTTGCAAAATAAGCCAGAAACAAAGACGATCAGATGATAAAGTTTTAATCATTGTAAAGAAAAATTATTGACTAATCACATAACTGATCAAAATTAGTTATTTGATGATTTTGTTGGCACATACCAGACATTTGGATTTTTTTTAGATGCATACAGAATCAGCATATGAATCTCAATAATGGTGACATGCTTCATGCCCCAATGCATCCTGGGAGCTAGTATAAAACTCATGACTCCCAGCATGCATTGTGGCAAGAAGTATGTCACCATTGTTGAGATTAATATGCTGATTCTGTATGTCTGTGTATTAAAATAAAATCATGTATATTTCAAAATTAAAATTCAGAATGTCTGATCTGTGCAAACAAAATATTGTCAATGAAAGCCATAAACTGACTTAAAAAGCCATGGGTCAAACTGTCCAACTAAAGCAAACACAAATATTTTCACTAAAACATTAACATCTAACTAAACATCTAACAAACTAAACCTCTGTTAATACTCAATAAGATTTGTTGTAGACATCTGACAGATATAAAGCCAAATTCTCAAAGAGAACTGTTGATGAATTACAGAAATAAAGTCGACTGGTTTATAATAAGAGATATTTAATGTCTTTTCAAATGATTTCATCAAAGGCGGTGGCTGGAAGTTAGTTGTAGTTCTTGTGTTTATCTTTCCTTCAGTGAATTTACTTGTTATTGTCACGGTTTGGGTTTTGTTTCTTGTTTCTTGTTCCTGGTTCTTGTCTTGTCATGTGATCCTGCCATGTGTCTTGTCTTTGGTTAATCGTCTGATTATTGTTCACAGGTGTCCCTTGTCTTGTCGTTAGTCTTGTGTATTTAAGCCCTCATGTTTGCCCTGTGTCTTTGTCTAGTATTGTATGTTATGTGTGAATGTTACTGGTCCAGGTTCTTGTTTTCAGTTTTCTGTTTCATGCCTCGCCATGCCTTTGTTTTGTGTTTGATTAAAGTTTGCATTTGGGTCCTAAAGCTTGCTGCCAGCCATTCATTACAGAATACTAGACCAAAATATGGATCCAGCAATCTGTCTCTTTCGCCTCAGCCAAGGTGATCGCCCAATTGAGAGGTATGTGGAGGAATTTTGCAAACTCTGCTATGGGGTGGACTTTGATGACGATGTCTTGAAAGACATGTTCCGCTACGGCCTTGCGGACCTCCTGGAGTACCTAATGCCTGACAACACCCCGCAATGGACATTAGAGCAGTACATGGACATTGCCCTTCAGATAAGCTCTGCTGTTCACGTCAGCCACGTCCAGCCAGAGCTTCACGTCAGCCACGTCCAGCCAGAGCTTCACGTCAGCCACGTCCAGCCAGAGCTTCACGTCAGCCACGTCCAGCCAGAGCTTCACGTCAGCCACGTCCAGCCAGAGCTTCACGTCAGCCACGTCCAGCCAGAGCTTCACGTCACTTCTGCCGATCCAGAGACTGAGCTTCACGTCACTTCTGCCGATCCAGAGACTGAGCTTCACGTCACTTCTGCCGATCCAGAGACTGAGCTTCACGTCACTTCTGCCGATCCAGAGACTGAGCTTCACGTCACTTCTGCCGATCCTGATCCTGAGCCTGATCCTGAGCCTGATCCTCTTCCTCTATTTGAGCCTGTGTCTTCAGACAAGATGGCCGACTCCACGCCTGCCGAGCAAGAGGTTGTGGTTCACGTCACGCCTGCCGAGCAAGAGGTTGTTCACGTCAGGCCTGCCGAGCAAGAGACTGTTCACGTCACGTCTGCCCAGCCAGAGACTGTTCACGTCACGTCTGCCCAGCCAGAGACTGTTCACGTCACGTCTGCTCAGCCAGAGACTGGTCACGCCAAGATGGCCACCGCCGAGCCAGTGTCTGCGCACAAGATGGCCGCCGCCGAGCCAGTGTCTGCGCACAAGATGGCCGCCACCGAGTCGGTGTCTGCGCACGAGATGGCCGCCGCCGAGTCGGTGTCTGCGCACGAGATGGCCGCCGCCGAGTCGGTGTCTGCGCACAAGATGGCTGCCGCCGAGCCGGTGTCTGTTCCTGAGCCGGTGTCTGTCCCTGAGCCAGTGTCTGTTCCTGCCCTTAACCCTATAGTTGCCCCCAAGAAAATTTTGAGGGGGGGCAGTAGGTCCATTGATGGGACCATGAAGGCCCTGCCGCCCTGGCTCCCTGCACTGCCGGATCCGCCATGGCTCCCTGCACTGCCGGATCCGCCGTGGCCGCCCGAGGGGTCTTCACCGCCGTGGCCGCCCGAGGGGTCTTCACCGCCGTGGCCGCCCGAGGGGTCTTCACCGCCCTGGGTCCCTGCACAACCTGTTCCGCCCTGGTCCCCTGTGCAGCCTGCTACGCCCACGTTCCACGGCCCAGGCCCGCCATTGCCGTGTCCTGGATCCGTTCCCCTACACGGGCCTGGCCCTCCATCCCTCCCCCAAGACCGCCTCTGCTCCACCACCCTCCTGAACTTATGTTTTTTGTTTTGATGGGCGTCGGGAGCCGCCCATAGAGGGGGGGCTATGTCACGGTTTGGGTTTTGTTTCTTGTTTCTTGTTCCTGGTTCTTGTCTTGTCATGTGATCCTGCCATGTGTCTTGTCTTTGGTTAATCGTCTGATTATTGTTCACAGGTGTCCCTTGTCTTGTCGTTAGTCTTGTGTATTTAAGCCCTCATGTTTGCCCTGTGTCTTTGTCTAGTATTGTATGTTATGTGTGAATGTTACTGGTCCAGGTTCTTGTTTTCAGTTTTCTGTTTCATGCCTCGCCATGCCTTTGTTTTGTGTTTGATTAAAGTTTGCATTTGGGTCCTAAAGCTTGCTGCCAGCCATTCATTACAGTTATCATCAGGTGTCTTCAATGTTGGCAATAAAAAATAAAGAGTTCTCAATTCATCTTTGATGTTTGTGTGTTATTCAGATATATTTTGTTTAAATTTTACTTAATTTTTTTGTGTGCTATATTTGCATTTACTTGTTTTAAATGGTTGAATTTTAAGGAATTAATTTGATTAATTCTGACTCAATTCTTTCTTTTTGAATTTAATTAATAATATTTTTCTAATATGTTGCCACAATTTTGTTGAGTATATAGTGTATTCTTTTTTTTTTTACAGTGCTGAATTAAATATTACAGCTAAATTTACAGCTAAACTAATTATTTTCCTGCCGAGATGCATACCAAATAGAATAGATTTCAAAATAGATTATTTTAAAAAACATAAATAAAGTTAGGTTAGGTAATTTTGTATGAGCAACTAAAAAAAAAAGCAAAGTCAAGTTTGTTGGTAGAACTGACAGGATGCTGTTTGGAGTTTGAAGAATAATAAAAAAATCTCTGCTTGGACCCCCAACAGATGCTTTTTCTCTATTTGATGTATTTGGTGATGTTTTGTTGTATAAATTCTTTTTATTATTATTATTAAAATGTTAAGGGTTTTTAGAGATTTCAACAATAAGTTTCACAATCTAATTTGAATCCACATATTTATAGGCCTGGTGCATTTAGCCTAATTTAAAAATGTTGATCTTTCATGTTGGAGATACTGGTCCTAAAAGTCTTTCTCATTCCTGCCAAATAAAGGTATCCATCAAAGGGAGTGAACTTACTACTGTAGCAGAAGAAAGGCCTGCTGGAATCACAGACCTCATCTGTCCATCGGCCTGAATACTGGAATGATACTGCAGTGCAGTGCTGATATCCATATTCATATGCTTGATTATTTCCATTATCTGGTTGCGCCTGTAACCCAGAAATTTGTGGCCTCCAGTTTTCATAACTGGTAATCTGACCGTTTGACCAAACCCTGTTTCTGTACAGGCCGATCCAGACTCCTCCACCTGTTGTCTCAAGGATCCTCTGGTTCTCAGTCTGATTTCTCACATTGGCGAGATCTGTGTAATGATCTCTGCAGTATCTACGAGCCTCTGACCAGATTTTCCTGTCATAGATTCCAACGTAACTCTGTGTAGCATTCACTCTACCTGTGATTTGAAATATACAACACATAATAGACGCACAGAAATACTCACAGAAAAGAAAAGAAAAAGTCCTTACCATCATAGCAAACGAATGGCGGAGTGTTGTCACATGATATATCATACCATTTCCCATCATAATGCATGTAAACACACAGTTCATTCCCACCACTGTTGTCTGGTTCATGATACCAGTTCCTGAAATCTCTCTCTCCTTCCTGATAGAAATCATTGTTTTCCAATGACCATCTCCAGCTGTTCACATCATCATACTGTCCAATCCAGGCTGAGCCACTGTAACTCCCATTAACTGTGTTTATCAGACTGTTCATTTCCTCCATGTTATCAATGGTGGCCAGATCAGTGTAATTCTCTCTGCAGTGTCTCTGAGCTTCAGTCCAGGTCTTAGACTCATTCACAAAGTGATACTGGCGTGATGATGTCAAAGATGACACTGTGGAGAAAGTGTCAGATTTATAGCATTCAATTTTTTTTGACAGCCTGGCCATTAAGACAGATTTCTACTCACCACTGTAGCAAAAGAAAGGAAATACATAATTGCAGTTTTCATCTGTCCATTGCTCAGAGTCACTGAATGAGACTACAGTGCAGGATCCTGGAGTATCTGGCTGTCCTGTCGTCCAGTTACTGAATGAAGAGTTGCTCTGATCTGACCAAGATCTGGTTCTGTACAGTCCAATCCAAACATTATAATAATTCCGAGATAAATACTGAATCTTCTGGTTTTCAGGCTCATTCCTGATACTGACGAGGTCTGTGTGATGTTTTCTGCAGTAACTCTGAGCTTCAGTCCAGGTTTTGTATTGGTAAATAAAAACATAAGTTTCACTGGCGTTTTCTCTTCCTGAAAGATATTAATATCATATTAAATTCAGAGAGAGGTTGGTTTGGTTGTTTTAAACTTTTGTTTACTTTCTTAGACATTCTATTGACAGCTTACCATCATAGCAGACAGTAGGATAAAATGCATTGGAGCAGCTTGTTGTATACCATATCCCCATGTGCATATACACACACACACTTTGTCCTCCATAATAGTTTGGTCCTGGGTCATACCAGTTCCTGAAGTCTTTCCCTTCTTCCTTGAAGAAATCATTGTCCTCTAGAGTCCATTTCCAACTGTTCAGATCATCATAGAGTCCAATCCAGGCCAAATCAATGGAATCATCATTCACTGTATCCAATAACTGGACCGTCTGTTGTTCATTCTCAATGGAGGCCAGATCAGTGTATTTATCTCTACAGTATCTCTGAGCTTCTGCCCAAGTCTTGGATTCATTCACAAAGACATAATGAGGGACACACTGCATGAGGGCAAAGAAACCTGTTGAAAACACAAAAGGGAAGTTGAAATCACATGATACTATTTCAGTTATCTCCCTGTTTAGACAATGTCAGATTCATAATGGGTGACTGCAGAAAGTCAATTTCTACATCGATAATTGACCTTTAATAAAGTAAACATTATACTGATAGGTGTCCAAAATGCTCTGTACTTATCTATAAGATATACGCTTAGTTACGCCACTGACTCTCATAATGTCCTGTACATTAAAAAGAACACATGAAAGGCCCAATACAGTGTATAGACAGATACAAAATTCAGAAAGCATCTTATCAAAGCATCCAGATGAGGCCAAACCTTTTTTGTCTTTATCTTTTGTGGAGTTTTGTCTATAAATCTCAGATCACACATTTGCCTTATCTTATTTCATATGACAGCATGTCAGCCATAACATGAAATATAATTTTTTTTTTTTTTTTATTATGTCTATTAGTTCATATGTGTTATCTTTCATGCCATTTGTGTGCTAATGCACTGCTAAAGTTGATCAAATTAACTTTATACACATTTAAAGAAAATATATAATGCCTCGCTCACCCGAATAAAGGTGTGTTGGATGAAAATACAATACAAACTGTAAATATAAACTGAATAATATAAATCCCACATACTTCATGTTTGCATTATCACAAACATATTTTAATGAGCAAATTTCAGTCAATCCACATTCCTCAGCCTGAAGAATTACAAAAATTTCATTACTGTCATATTTTGGGTGAAATAAAATTGAGTGCAGGAACTAATCACAAGCAGTTAATATGTTTATTTACAATGAACTCAAGAACTAAGAACATGAACAGAATGACCAATGTAAACGCGAGGAGAACTGACAATGAACAGAAGGAAACACAGAGCTTAAATACACTGAACAAACCAATGAACTAAATAAACATCATGTTCAAACAATAATCAAACAACGAGTAACCAGTAAAGCGTGGAAAATGAACAAAGGAAACAGAAAACAGTGCAAAAAACAACTCATAGTAAAACTTAAAACAGGACATAACCCTGAAAATTACAGATAATTTCACTCACCTTGAATAATAAAAAAAAGATCCTCCTGTCCTTTTAAATGTCTGTCTGTATTTAATGAAGATGATTGATGCATGTACAATTTAGGTGTAACTGCTTGAATGGTATCTTGATAAATTTCTTGGCGAAAAAATATTCAATATCTCTACTATATATGTTTGCAAGATTATCAGCGAGAACAGTTCAAACTAATTCCACCTTCTACTTCCTCCTTTCACCAACTAGCAAATAACCAATCATGTTCATGACTGTGACATAACTAAAGCCTATATGGGTTTTTTTTCATGGATTTTTTATATGTCCAGATTTAACTTTGTGTTTCAATAGAAAATGTATCAAGGAAAAAGCAATGATCACACTGTACTAATTGTTTACATAATTTTTCAAGCATCAATGCATGCCAAGACCTTGCACAACAATGTTCAGCTTAAAATGGTTTGTTCAGATGAAAAGTTAGGTAAATTTTTTTTTTTTTTTTTTTTAAATCGAATTGACTGGCTCCTCCTGCCAAAAAAATAAATAAAAATACTTCAAGCTACATTTTTAATAATTTGTTAGAAGTTTTTTTTTTCACTGAATATAACTTCGCCCCACATAGCACAATGGAGTCCAAATGTCTGGAAAGCAAAATCTAAATATTTAAACAAAGACAATTATCACATGAAATGAGGAAAATGTAAGATTCTGCACTATTTTTAGACCAAAAATGTTCCATACCTGAGAATAGTACCACTGAAAGCATGGCTGTGGAGAAAAATTGTGCATGTTTAATTGAAAAAATAATTTGTACATTTATTAAAAATTAATTAAGCGCCAGTTTTGTCAAATATTTAGTTTACCGGTAGGATCTCAAGACTTCAAGTCCTGTGTCTTGCTCACCAGTTTCTGTTTGGTTGTATTGCAGCTCTATTTATAGGCCTATCAAAATGTGGGTGTGACTTTCTTTTAAATCACAAAACCAGGTGGCCTAAAATAGCTACCAGTATGGGTTTGTTTAACAGAAATCTACAAAATATAGATATAGAACTTAACATCAATAAACCTAGACTACCTTATTAAAAAATATAGTTTTATATATTTTTCTATTCAGCAGCTTTCCATTAAATTTCTACACTAGCTTTAGGCTAGGCTACTTTATATATAAAACATTTTTTAATTCAACTTGATATACACCCTAAAAAAGATGAATTAAGTTCTATTTAGAACCATATCATCCTTAACCACTTTATGGTAACTGATCCACTTTATGGTAACATGGTTCTTTGTGCACCTTCTTTTATTTCCTGTAACTGTCAAAAAATCATTTCAAAGCCACCTCATTATTGATTTTAGGGAGCTCAATGGAGCTTTATGGAGTTCTTAAAATGTCTATAAATGTTAACTTTTCAATTGTCACTGGTTTGCTCAATTATAAAGCTGAAATTAAATATCAGTCTGTGTGTCATGGATATCTAATAAAGAAATATGACATATAATGGCTGAAATTTGGACTCTTCTAATAACGTTTGAACTGTTTTAATGTTTCAGAATGTGTCCTGTGTTCTTGAACTTAGTGGCAAAATGTATCTACCCTGCATGCTCTTGTCAGGATACAGGCTCAGAGACAGAGGTAAGTGAATAAACACAAAGCTTTATTTAAGTGCATCAATTTCAATGGTGAGTTCTTTCAAAGTTCAGAGGTGAATACGATAAGGATTACTATGCAGGAAGGATTCCAGGTGAGCAGATCCTCTTCAGTTTTTCCAATGTCAAACTACCACAGTTCAGTGATACTTGTCGTTTTCTCTTTCAGATACATCCACCAGCAAGCATGACTCAGGAGGAACACAAGGAACCAGGGAACTTGGATTCAGAAGCAGATTCTGTGAACATCAGAACATGGACACAGAGGTTAGTATATTTCAGGTGAGTATACGTTACTTGACTGGTACAGGATAAGTAAGAGACTTGAGACAATGGTAAGCGTCTGTTCCTGTTGGAGGCTTGACAATGACTGAGGCTGTGGTGAGTGTTTATATGCAGAGGTTGATGGGGCTGTTGATTGTGAACAGGTGTAGGTGATTGGTAATCCGGGGAGAGTGATTGCAGGTGCGCCAAAGAGGATTCTGGGAAATGTAGTGCAAAGATAGACGGTGAACCGTGACAGCTCTACTAAAACGGACCAGAAATTAAAGAGTTTTTGTCATGAAATCATTATTATTATTTGCAATATCTGGAACATTAATAATAATGAAGCTTTTCTTTTGCATTCGGTTTACATAGCCTATTGAACATTCTGTTAAACAAAACATTGCGGTCACACCCACCACTTTTCTTTGCATTTGTTTTCACAGATATTTTCTGACTGGTCTGTAAATGGTGATTGTACTGTATAGTGATACATGATACAATTATTATTGTGGCTGAATGTTTTTTAAAAGAGAAAGCAGCCATCTGTATTTACATAATGCAGAACCAGACAAACAAGTTACTAGAGGGTCTAAACAAATCCTGTGTGTTCACATTTTACTGGCTAAACTGAAAGTGAGGAGCACAAAATAGAACCAGAAAAACTTTGATTATCTCTGTTCATAATAAAAACCAGCAGCGTGACATTTCCCTCCTCGATATGAATCTTAAAGACAAATCAAACATGCATATGTAACCCGGGTAACACTGGCTACCAATAAAGGTTAATAAAGGAAAGAAAAAAAAGAGTGTTCTAGATAGAAAAGAGATTTACCCAATCAAACATAGTTCTGCAGTGACTGACACCATATGTGAGCCAACAGTAGAATACTATGAGAATACTAGAATGAGAATAGATGGAGCGGATCTCAGAGTGAAGCGATGTGAATCAGGTGTGCCATTTCAGGGTTAAAACAAAAATATGTCCTGTCAGGGGGTCCCTGCAGGAGAGGTTGAGTACCACTGTATGTGAACGTGATCTCTTGCGAGAGTTTCCGGCTTTGTGCCAAATATAATCTCTTGGAGAGGAATCGTCTGATTAAATGACACGATTATGCACAAATAGCTCCCAGACCTGTTTCCACTTTGAACTGTGTTACAGGAACGTTTAACCACTGCAAAACAAGTTGAGCTACTAACGGCTTGTGGCAGTTTCAATTGTCACAGATATCTGACAAATCTGACATCTCAAACAGAAGTCAAGCAATGGACTCAATGCAAATTATGCATTTGGAAGGTTTAAAAACACAAATGTGCAGGTTGTATTTTTATTACAGCTTTCCAATTATTTGATTCTTTTACATTTATATCTATGCTTTTATGAATCATTATGTGTATAGCCTGCGCTCATATATGTACAGTATGGACAACCATTTGTGAGGTGTTAATTGTCAGAGATGTCTGAAGTTTACTAACAAAATAAATGTAAGGTGAAATATATTAGCTGATGTTTTGAGATAATGTGTCATCAATCTTACTAGTCACACAACATTATTTTTATTGTTTTATTTTATTCTTTTCTTTATTAAGGCATGTAAACGTGTTCACAAATGTCATTTTTATTGAAATGTAGATAACATAATTTAAAAAAATCATGATGTTAAAGGAACGTTTAACCACTGCAAAACAAGTTGAGCTACTAACAGCTTGCGGCAGTTTCAATTGTCACAGATATCTGATAAATCTGACATGTCTCAAACAGAAGTCAAGCAATGGTAACAATGCAAATTATGCATTTGGAAGGTTTAAAAACACAAATGTGCAGGTTGTATTTTTATTAAAGCTTTCCAATTATTTGATTCTTCCATTGTTTATTTGATTTTTGGAAATCATCATTTTAGCAGCATGACTGCACCTCTCATTCGAATTTACGTACTTGTAGGAACATGCCTATATTAACTTGGCCTGAATAAAATTAGACTACCGTCTTCAAAAACATATAAAGTATCACCATTATGGACTCTTATTTTTGATATTCTGTTTTGTTTCCCTTAGTTCCCTCTGTTTAGTTTCGGTTTCCTTCATTTCTGATTATGTCCTCGTTTATGGTTATATATTATCTGCACCTGTCTGTCAATATGTTTGCCTTGTATTTACTCCCTGTTATGTTTACTTCTTTGTCGGTCCTCGTATATGTTTAGTGGTTTGTGTTTTCCCTGTGTGTTCCTGAGTGTTGTAAGCCCGTCTATTGGTCCAATGGCGGTTTCCAATAGGACGGGTGAAGGTTTCTGCGCGTTACTGTCTTCACGCAACACAACAAAATTAAATTAAATACATTTTCTCATATGTATTACCTCGTTATTTCATCTGACTCCATACATTTTTAATGATATTATCATTAAATGTAGGTGAATGTTTGATTATTCTATTCAACTCTTTTAAGCGCTATATGCCTTATTCATTCTTTAATTTATATTTTACCCGTTCATTTTAGAATCTATTTCGCTTTGATGTCATCAAGCCGGCCACTTAAAGCGGGTCTCACGATCACAAGCTCGTCAGTTTTGGTCACTAAACAGAGGTAATTGGCGAATATCTTAGACAGTCACATTCACGCTTACACAATCAAAGATATTTTTGGTATAGCCTCCCTTACAGTTGAATTAAAGTAACGTTTTCTTCAGACAGAGGTCATGACCACTACAGATATAAGCCGACCAATATTACTTCTCTGATAGTAGCTTTGGTTTGGTCATGCCATGGTTTCCCACGTATACTTAACTAAAGAAACATTACATTAAACAGAGGTAAGACTCCACCTATTTAGGTTGGTCGAGCAGCAGTTTGTTGTCCTAAACTAAATTTCCTTTTTGTCTTTACAAAACCAAGTACACTTGAATAAGTGCTGGTGAACTAGCACTGGCTCTGCCTCCGGCTCTGGAACGGGCACTGGCACTTGCTCCGGCCCTGGAACAGACACTGGCTCCGGCCCTGGAACAGCAGACACTGGCTCCGGCTCTGGAACAGCAGACACTGGCTCCGGCTCTGGAACAGCAGACACTGGCCCCGGCTCTGGAACAGCAGACACTGGCTCCGGCTCTGGAACAGCAGACACTGGCTCCGGCTCTGGAACAGCAGACACTGGCTCCGGCTCTGGAACAGCAGACACTGGCCCCGGCTCTGGAACCGACTCTGGCTCTGACTCAGAAACAGCAGATACAGACATATCCAGAATCCGCGCCAGACGTTCCAGATAGTCCGTAATTGCCTTGGCGGCCACACAAATTGGCATTTCCGGATCTGTCTCAGACTGGGCAGACTGGACGTGCTCAGTCTCAGTCTGGGCAGACAGAGCGTGTACTGTCTCTCGCTGGGCAGACGTGACGTGAACAGTCTCTCGCTGGGCAGATGTGACGTGAACCGTCTCTCGCTGGGCAGACGTGACGTGAACAGTCTCTGGCTGGGCAGACGTGACGTGAACAGTCTCTCGCTGGGCAGACGTGACGTGAACAGTCTCTCGCTGGGCAGACGTGACGTGAACAGTCTCTGACTGGGCAGACGTGACGTGAACAGTCTCTGGCTGGGCAGACGTGACGTGAACTGTCTCTCGCTGGGCAGACATGACGTGAACAGTCTCTCGCTGGGCAGACGTGACGTGAACAGTCTCTCGCTGGGCAGACGTGATGTGAACAGTCTCTCGCTGGGCAGACGTGACGTGAACAGTCTCTCGCTGGGCAGACGTGACGTGAACAGTCTCTCGCTGGGCAGACGTGACGTGAACAGTCTCTGGCTGGGCAGACGTGACGTGAACTGTCTCTCGCTGGGCAGACGTGACGTGAACTGTCTCTCGCTGGGCAGACATGACGTGAACAGTCTCTCGCTGGGCAGACGTGACGTGAACAGTCTCTCGCTGGGCAGACGTGACGTGAACAGTCTCTCGCTGGGCAGACGTGACGTGAACTGTCTCTCGCTGGGCAGACATGACGTGAACAGTCTCTCGCTGGGCAGACGT